TTCCTTCCTTCCTTCCTCCCTTCCTTCCTCCCTTCTTTCTTTCTTTCCTTCCTTCCTCCCTTCTTTCTTTCCTTCCTTTCTTTCTTCCTTCTTCCCTCCCTCCCTTCCTCCCTCCCTTCCTTCTTTCCTTCCTTCCTTCTTTCCCCTCCCTCGTATTTATTGTGAACCTATACTGTTCTATACTTCTTCGCTAGGCATTGGGGAAGGAAAAACTGGTTGGATCCCTTTCCCAAAGGAACTTATAGACCAGTCCCTCCCTTCCTTCCTTCCTTCCTTCTTCCCTCCCTTCTTTCCTTCCTTCCTTCCTTCCTTCCTTCCTTCCTTCCTTCCTTCCCTCCCCTGACTGTGCCTCGGCTGTAGGGCTGGCAGCCTCCAATGGGCTTTCTTAGGGAAGGGGCCAGGTAAGTGGAAAGCCCGGCACTTCCATCCCTGTAGTCCTGGCGTGCTGAGTATTCTGTAGGTCGGCCCAGATTGGCCATAGGCACAATGGAGGAACTTCTATAAATGTCTTACCCGTCTGCCGGTACCCTCTCCAGTCAAGGAATGTCTAGCTGTCTCTTTGGTAGTTGACAAACATAGTTTCTTTTGAACAGTGAACTCTTGGCTCTTTGATGAGAAGCAAACTCAAGGCCACAAGGGGTTAGGATGAAGTAACCTGTTAGTAAGGGCTGCCAAGGTCTAGGGTTCAGACAGAATTGCCATCAGTTTTGGAGGAGACGGGGAGACAGTAGATGCCCACCATTGCCCTTTGACCTGCAGGCCAGCTTCCGCAGGCGTAACTCAGTCCTGGGACCAGCTCTCATCAAATGTTTTCTAAACCTTGACTCTGTCCAGGAGGATGGGTGTTTTGAGCATCCTGATGGTTTCTTCTGTCTCTTTATAAGCTGGTAAGTTTCTTATTACCATTGGAGGACCTTGAACATGGGCGTCCATTCAGTTCCCATCAATCAGGCCAAAAAACCTTATTCCTGCTATTGCTCCACACATTTGGAATCTTTAAATGTTCTAAATCTCTTGGAGCAATAAACTAGCTTCTGGTATTTCTAACTTAGAACAATGAAGAGAAACCAAGATACTAAAGTCTTTAGGTCACCTCTATTCTCTAAGAATCCTTTAAAGTATAAAATATTCCTACCAAAAGTGCATGTGTGTGTGTTGGGGGTGGGGAGGTGCGCGGATAAATGTAAACTTCACAAACGAGTAACATCTAAGATTCCTCCTCTGAAAACATAATGTATTTTCTCTGAAGTGTGAACATTTGACACAGAGGTGTGAAGGTGTCTACAATGAACTTTATTTCCACCAGCGCAGCAGGTTAGCCACTGGTGAGCTTGAGCTCCGCCAACGTCAGAATCTGCCCGTGGAGAATGCAGACAGAACCGTTAGGGTACAGTTACCGACCTGGTAAAGCAGCAGTTGTACCAATGAGTTCCCAGCCTGAAATGAAATCATTACACATGTATATTTACGAGTATTGAAAAAACAACTGATGCGACAGCTAGAGATCACATTGAATGCTGAAGGCGTTTCCTCGAATGGGACAGGAGGGGAAGGCATTTAGAGTGCACGTAGCTGTAGAGGACCCTTCCTGCCTCGGGCTGCTGGTTTGCACACGTGTGCGCCGCTGCTGGGGCCGTGCAGGCGCATGTGTAAATGATCAGGGGGAGGTGGTCTGTCTGTGACATTCTGAGCCCACGGAGGAAATCCATTAACGCCATCGTTTGCTCTTCCTCTGGAATCACTATGTAATCATTTATGTTCAGAACCAAACAAAACCAACCCTCTTTACTCTTTTAGCACTCGGGAGAGCCTGGCCTCCAACACGTCGAGCATTGTTGAAAGTAACCGTCGTCAGAACCCTACCTTGAGCCCGGCCCATGGCGGCGCCGGCCCGGCCTTCAACTTCCGAGCAAGCACGGACCCCCCGACAAACGAAGCTGAGAAATTACAGAAACCTTCCAACTGCTTGCAGGCTTCCGTGACGAGTGTGTGACCGTCGTCGGGCCTCCGATCTCCATCTCGTGCGACACGGCCAAGTTTACGACACTGGGACTGATGTTTACATCTTCGGAAAGACAAGCATCTCAACCACAGTTTTGGTGTTTACTTAAACTGTGCTGCTAAGTAGGCTAGAGCAAAACACAAAAGTCTTTCTTTCAGAGTATTGCTTTTTCTTCCCATGTATGGCTCTGTAGCAACAGAATAGCAGTAGGGGTGATATGTACACTTTTGCTTCACTAATTGTAACTGAGCACACATAGGAAAGTCTAGACACTGTCAGTGTAATCTGCATTTCCAATGTCATGCCGTTGCCAATGCCATTTTCAAATGCCACAGGTGCGTGTTGCTCCCAGTCTGTGGGCAGATGGTGCCACAGAACTGCTTCTTGACACTTCCAAACAAACAAACAAAAACAACGAAGCCACCACAAAACGTCCAATGCCAGGGCCCGCGGGGAGGGAGATCCATGCCAAACAGCCGAGGAGGGACCCAGCCCCCGGTGTGTGAATCGCTTAGGCACCCGTCATTTCCTCACTGTGAGTTTTCGTGGCTCGAGGTTGCAGGAGCCCGTGGAAGTGTGTCCGAAGGGGTCGGGATGGAGGTCCTGGGAGTGCGTGTCGTCAGGATTTTGTTTTTCAGTGTCACAGATGCTTGTCTGAGTGTTCACCTTCCACAATCACCAACAGGAATATAGGCCTTTGGATCTGAAGTGGGTAGAAAGGCAGGAGCCCCCAGCCTGGCTGGGCTCGGCACTCCTGCTGGAAGAGGTAATGCGGACTCGACTCCTAGAAGAGGTGTGAGTCGGAATCTGTGAGGCTGGGAAAGGGATGATGAGCCTATCTTACGATAATAGATACGATAATTAGTTTGTTTAAAAGCAAAATGTTCTTTGTGATACAAATGAAGAGTATGGCCTGGGGATGTTATTCTTTCTAATGGAAGGACATAAATCTATTTTATGTAGTTTTAAATAGAATGCCTAAATTAGGCGGTGGGAGATAATTTTTAGTGGTTCTAGGAAAGAGCAGAGTTAGGGAGAGTTGAACTTCAGGCCTTTTATTCCTGGGAAGATGTCTATAGAGAAAACTTTAAAAGTAGTTTTTGATCAGAGGTATACATGTGCCCATGTAACGAACAACGGAATGTGCTCATTCTGCAAATGTGGTATAATTCTAACTTGTACTCCCCTTAAAATTGACCAGAAAAACCATTATGCATACATGAACTATGCCAGAGTGATGTTTACAGAGACTGTGTAACCGATTTCAGGAGGCATGTTGAGGTGGATGTGCGGCCATCAGCCCAACTTACTTCGAGATGGTTTGTTCACATTTGGCTTTGGTTTACACTGTCACGTTGAATGCAAAGAAGCCGGGCGGCGGCAGAGGGATGACAAATAGTCAAGCTTCAGCCTTCCGGGAAAGAGATTTTCCCAGGGCCCTGCGATTTATTTTATGGGAACAATGGAATCAAGCTGTAGGTAATGGGAAAGTATTTGCAAAAGGGTTACAGATGACGCAAGTAAATGGTCTGACCAAAAAAAAAAAAAAGAAAGTTTATTTAGTTCCGTGGCATGTGATGTTTGGAGCCATAAAATACATATCCAAAAATAAATCCCAGATCCAGCCAGCGGCCTGGCGTTGGTGAAGTGCCCCTGCCCCGGGTTAGGCTGCATCTGCGGCCCGTTTAGGGGATGCAGGCGCATACGCGGCCGGACTGGTTCTTGCAACATGTGGGCGCTCCCTTGCGCTTCTTCAGATACTTGGAAGTTGCGCGGGGAACCGGACGCATCTGGGCAGTGTAGGCTCCTTGTCTGTGCTTAGGGTGAAACCTAAGTACCTGCCTCGGTCAGCTCCCACACCACGAAAAGGCTCCCGTCAGTCGGCGTGCCATGTCATGCCTTATTTCCTCCGAGGCATGCCCGGATGGCTCAGCAAGGCACTCTCTCTCCCCGCTTAACTATGTCCAGAAGGAAGGATAATGTCTCTAAGAGACTCCATTCCGAGTCCGTTTCCTTGGGGAGCTGTCTACCATACAGTTACTAAATTCTTCTGTCTAAATTCCTCCTCCCCCACCCCCCCCCACCCAAAAACCCTGCTCTCAAGTGTTTACCATACACTCAGTTCATAAATAACATAACCATTGAGACAGCCCACCAGCCTCCGGCTGATCCTCTGAGAGTCGCCATCATCTGAGTCAAAGGCTGGATGACCCAGAAAAGCAAGCAAGACCTTTAGAAGCTTTAAAATAGGAATTTATCACTATTTCGCAAGAAATCGGTTTACAGAAAACATTGTTCCAATAAAAGTGTACACTTTCTGCCTGATACTATGGGGTAATTAAAAAAAAACAAAAAACAACTCCCTTAGACCAGCAGCCATGAGCGTAGAAACGATGGACTTTAAAGGTGATATGATGTCCCAGGTAGACGCAGCCCCGTCTGATCTCTCCAGGCTTCCTAAAGGGGGGAGGGAGGGGCAGGAAGCACATTACAGATGTGACCCAGGATGGTCCACAGCGAGGCTCTCGGGGACCAAGCTTCGAGGACACCCTTGTCCTCCGGGGAAATGCTAGCTTTGTGTCCACGGCTGCGTATAGAGGCTTCACTTAAGAGCTTGTCATCCGAAAGGTTTACAGAATCGAATCCGGTTGAATCTCTGTGTAGCGTTCAACGTTAAAGGGTCAACCCATCTGTTGGCATTTTGCACACTTATGTATTATTATGATGCAGCATATTACTTTATGGTAATTTTTATTTTTGCATATAACTACCTCCATAAATTTGATGAAGCGGCAGCCGTGCGTTGGTGTGTATCGGTCAGAAAAGCGGAGTTCAGGCCATGGCGTGGTGTGTGTGTGTGTGTGTGTGTGTGTGTGTGTGTGTGTGTGTCGGCGATCGCCTCCGTGGACTCATGACTTTCTCATCGCCATGGTTTCCTTTCGCGGCATTATTTCACTTTCAGATGTAAGCCTGTCTCCTCCCCTCCCCACCACAGCCCACTTGGTTTTGTGATGAATGGGAGGAAGTTTAATTTTCTTGTCTCCCTGCCCCGCCCCCCATTCTTGCTAAAAGTTCTCCCTGGCAAAGAGCCAATTGGTAAACATAACGTAGCAAGCGATTTACTCCTATAAAAATCTGAGGTGAATTCTAGGTTTTCAGTAACCGAAGACACACAAGAAATGTGGACTGCGACTAGGGAGCACTTTGGTCCTCTCTGCCTTCACCACATGCTGGCGTATCGAGCCCAAACGTCCCTCCCGTGAGAAGAGCTGTGCTGTGTGCCCACAACTCCTGTTCCATAGGTTGTATTCCATTTTATATATTTGTACATCTCAGGGGACCTAATTAAGGGCGGGCACCAAATACAGAAAGTGGATTGGAGAGCTGAAAGGCGACTAGCTGGGTAAAGATGGAAAAAAAAAAAATGACCACTTCTCTGACTTCGGGAAGCAGACATTTTTTTAAAAAGGGAATCTGGGGTAACAATGAGCCAAACACCAGCTGTTCCCAAGTCTCCCTTTCCCACAAGCCGGCCAGCATTTCTAAAATGCAAATCTCAATTCTGTTGCAGTCACCTCGGGGAGAAAAAAAACCCTCTTCGATGACAACGAAAGCATCGTTCCTTTTTTAGGCTGGCACAGCTTTCTCAAGTTCCACCCAGGAAAACCACTTCTCACCACAAAGTGTACTTGAAAATAAGTTTCCAGTTCAAATGGTAGGCCTATCGCTCACCCTACTATCGTGGCGATGTTCTGGAATGGCTCAGTGTATGCCATGGGCAGTATTTTGGAGCTTGATTAGAATCCAACCCCGACCTGTAATGACTGCACATTCATGTCGGGGTCTCAGTGCTTCCAAAGCGTGCGGGTTCACAGACAGCTCCCCACGCGGGTCCTCTGTGCCGTGCCCGTACTTGAAGCGAACACACGGAAGGAGTGACAGACGAGATGACCCAGGACACAGTGGCAGCTAGAGATGATCTCTGTTCTATCTGTTGGATAGACCATCCCGAGCAATCACCCAACACAATGCGATTTTTTTTTCTGATGTGTGCTAATAAAGTCAAAGAAAAACGAATACAACTTTCCACCGTTGTCCACTTTCATTCAAAAAGTTCAGGGCGCTGGGAATGTGACGCCTCCGTACACCTTCCTGGCAGCGATTTATGAAGGGGGACGTCCATTCGGCCCATTCTGGTGCCACTGCGGTCAGCGGTAGGTCTAGACACACGCCCGTGTTTGCAGTTGCCTATCGGCTCCGTGATTCCTGTGCTAAAATGCCGTCTTTCAAGGAACACGGCTGCTCCGGGCTGGGGAGGTGCTGAGGCGGAAATTTCAGTGAAGAACTGTCTCAAGTTCTCAGGCTTCGTAGGCGACAGCAAGTCAACCCTTATCGGGCCCGGCTCCGAAGAATCTGGATTTCCCAGGGAGCTGGTCTAGTTGGCAGTGCCCTCATATTAAGGAGGGCACTGGATGAGGGCCTTCTCTGTTGCCACGGGCCGGTCACAGGACCCGCTGGCCGCGTTCTGGCGGTGCCAGTGGACCCCGCAGAAGTGGCCCTTCCCTTCCCTCTCCCCGGCCCCCGCTCCCCCCAGCCTGTCCTGCCCATTGTCTGGGGGGCCAGTTCTCATCTGTTCCTGAGTGACTCCCCCACACACCTTTAGGTCTCGGGGAAGCCAGAACACAAGAAACACGAATGCAAAAGCCATGGAAACATTGTTTTGCTCTGGGTCAGTAAAATAGGGGCAGGAAAGAGATTACCATCGGTCTGATCTTTGCCAAGTCAGATAACCGAATCAGCTCCCACTCCGTCACTCTCCCTTAAGGGTTGACAGTATTAAGGCTACATCCAATATTTCCCCATTTCATAAATTATACACACACACACACAACTCATTATTAAACTTCCTGGTGTGTCTGAAACAGACATTGGCATCTCCCTGGTTGAGTTCCTCTCGGCGTCTCTGGCAGCAGCAGCCCAGAGATTCCCCGGCGATGGCTCCCCTAACACACGCTCCTGTGTGTTCACAGTTGTGGTTTCTGTGACTTAGAGTTGCTGGTTTGCAAGGTTCAGCATTCTACAAGGCTCAAGGGGACTAAACCTCCTTCTTATGATTGTATTATTATCTGTTTTGGGGCTTTAAATCGCTCCTGTTGGCTTCAAATGCGAACACACACACACACACACACACACACACCCTGCCAACGAGGGAAGGGGCTGTCTGCCACGCGAGGCAGTGATCCCTAGAAGCCCATGGAAGGCTAGAAGCTTGGCTGGCCCACGTACAGCTGCCTACCTCCCTGTCCAAAGGTTGACCTTGGCACCCCATCCCCTTGCTCCCACCAAAAAGAGGTACCAAATCTGAGATCTGAGAGCTCCAATTTCAGTCCTCTGCCAGTTCTAGGAAATTTATCATGAACTACACACTCAGCAGCTCCTCACCTTCCTGTCCTCCATGGTCCTCCCTGCCTCCTCCCTACCGCCCCCTCCAACCCCGCCCCCCGCACCACCACCACCACCTAGATAGTCATACACCGCCTCGGTTTCCACATTGGAAGGGCGAAGTCGTGTGTGGTATTGTGCGCACATGATGGTTAGCACCAGAGCTAACCCCGGGTCACCTTCCTGTAAGTATTGACAGCTACAAATTAAGGTCCTTAGAGTAGTTGACATAGATACGACTTTCTAGCAGAGAATCAAATTTCAACGTTCTGTTTAAAGGGATCATAATTCTGCAGGTATCCTTCTCTGAGTGACTGAATGTGACTATTGCATTAGGGGTAAATGAATTAAGAAGTGCAAGTGGGATTTACTGTATGTTAGAAAGAAGTTTTGCAGCCAAGACTGCCTTGAATAAAATGTGTTTGCACTGAAAAAAAAAATTTTAAATTACTTGGTCTCTGGTTGCTGTAAAGGTCATCCAAGATGGATGTTCTGTTTATATTGTATAGTATTTCATATGAAATAATTACAGTTCATGAAATGTCTTCCCTAATGTTACTGATTTATAACAGCACATTTGTAACATGGTTTTTATCGTGTCAGTGTGCCATATTGTAAATGATGATTACTTGTCATGCTTAGTATAATAACTTAAAAGGAAAAAAAAGCACAGGGATTTTTGTAAGTCTATATTTGAAAGTCCCTCCATATGGTAATATTGTGTTCATGTTGTTTATGTAGTGTTGTGTGAAATATCCATTTTGGATTGTGTTACTTTTTAAGATATTAAATAACATTTGGTTATATGTGTAAGTGGATTTCTTTTTGGTGCCCGAGAAAGAATAGGTGAGATCAATTTATTTCTCTGCTCTGTTAATATGATTTCATAACAGATTTTTATTACACAATCATGATGAGAGCTTTTGAAGTAAAGCAGCTAAAAATGGAAATTTCTGGTCAAACCTTTTTTCCAGGAATGTTGGAAAACATCACATTTTTGACTATTCAAATGTGAAAGACAGATTTAGAGATGCATATAATTAAGTTTTCTATAGGAAATTATAAAGAAATGTGGATGTTGTTTTGTTAGCACTCAACTCCTATCCCCAAATAAACGTAATGCCCCCG